TGTGACGACCCCGGGCTGGACTCCACTTCGTCCACGGTGAAAGCAAATTGGATTGGATTTGAGACTTTAGTCTTTGCAACTTTACAGATCTTCTTTATGCACCAAGAGCTTGAAACACTCCAAAGAGAAAGAAAAAATTTAAATAGCATCATATGACCCCTTTAATATGGAAACTGGTTCTCAGAAAAGATTATACTAGAAACATCTATATATATATATATATATATATATATTAAAAAAAAGTCTAATGTGACAATGTTTGTTTGACAGATGCCCTGGTGACTTTTTTCCGCTTCTATTGATGTTTCTGATTGCGCGATTAATCTATTTCTGTGTACTGCTCTGATTCATTCTGACAGAGGGAGCAGATATTTAAATCAGCGGGTTCACCTAAATGGACACAAACACACTTGCTTGCGCACACAACCAAAATATAATAACAACATAAAAAGATTTATTAATGGGAAAATGGTCAATGTTCAATCATACACCAGATATTTACACAGAGCAAGTGGGTTTGTATATGTTTTGGAAAAAGGAAGAAGAGTTTAGACTGTGGTTTGGGATTTGGAAGTGGTGCTTTGAAAGGCATATGTGATGTGGTTACGGGCATGATTTAGATAAATATCATCATATGACTGAACACCTCCAGAGAAATGCCTCCAGTGCATGAGCTCGGACATGCTGACTCGTTGTGGAAATGATACCGTGCTGTCGGAATGGCGACCCAGCTGACATGTCCTTTCGGTGTCCTCCTTTATCTCCTTCCCAAAACCTGGAAATGTTCACATTCAAATTAATTAAAGTGCTTACTTTTTTATTTTATTTTGAGAGAAGATAAAAAAAAGATACATAATTCAGTAAAAGTAGTATAATTGTGAAATATTATTACAAATTTTCATTTTTTAATATACATTTAAAATGTAATTTAGTCCCGTAATTAATAGCAATGCTAAATCTTAATTAGAAAACAGTTGCTTAATGATGCCTAATATTTTTGTGAAGACCGAGACACATTTTCTCAGGACTCTGATGAATAGAAAGTTCAAAAGAACAGTATTTGTTTGCAGTAGAATCCTTTTGTAACATTAAAAATGTCTGCACTTTCACTTTTGATCAATTTAATGCATCTTTGCTAAATAAAAGTTAAAGTTAAATTTCTATTAAAAGAAATGACCCCCAAATTTAAAAAGTAGTGTACATAAACATGTATAGATATATACTCTTCTACTATACCTCAAATATATATATGACTGATTGCAATTAATTAATCTGTATATCTTTTTATTATTTAAAAAATTTGAATTGATTGAAAGCCCTAATGCATAACAGCAAAATAATAATTTATTTAATTTGCTTGTATTTATTTACCTGGCGTATTTCCATCTCCAGTGCATTGGCAGTCCAGTAGGTCATGTGTGAGGCAGGTGGTATTAGGGTCAAAACTGAAAAGGTCCCGTAGCTCCTCAGCAGAAAAGCTACTATGCTCTGCTTTCTTGGACAGGTCCACCACTGTCCCAGAAAGCCCCTGTTTACTCACCTGCCTCTGATAAATCTTTTCTTCTATTGAACCTACAAGACACACAAGGAACAGTATTGCAGACCCAAACTCATGTGCAAACTATCCATGAATCATCAATCTGAAAGCCTTCCAAAAATAAGAGTGTCTCTCATCATGTGATATGTGTCATAATATAGAGCCTATTGGTAGAAAAGAAAGCCAGTCAGTTTGTGTGGGTTAGGATTGATGAAAGGCTGCGAGATGTTTCAGGTCAGGTACTTCTTTTTATTGCACTGTCATAACAAACAGCTCCATTTATTCACTGACAGACAGGCTGATTATACTTATTTTATGGCTAATTTACAAATGTTTTGGTTACCTGTTGTAAGAAATCTGTAGATGTGAACTGTTTTCTTCTGTCCATCTCGCCACACTCGGGCCATGGCCTGACAAATGTACATCAATAATTGTTTAGATAATTTGAGCCTTATAAAACTCAAAGCCCTCAGAGAGCATTCATCATGGCAGCAAAACAAAATGATGGTGACACATGAAAGCAGAGCATTCAGACAGATAAATACCAGAGAGAGAATGGCAAGATTTACAAGAGGTTCAAGTTTTTTTGTATTTACTGACATCTAGTGGTCTGAATAAAAAGGCACAACTAAGACAATTATGTGGACTCAAAAACAAAAAAACACTGAGCTGCATGATGATCCGTTTGTGTGTGTGTGTGTGTGTAATGTTGTATAACATGTGTTTTATTGTTGCTCTGCAGTGTTACATGGCTAACTGTAACACTGGAAGTCCACTGACCTGTATGTCATTGGCAGGGTTCCAGTCTACATCATATAAAACAAGATGGGAGGCACCAATGAGGTTTAGTCCCACCCCTCCAGCCTTGGAGCTGAGTAGCAACAGGAAGCTGGATGAGTGTGGGCTGTTGAAGGAATCAACAATTCGTTGTCGCTGGGCTACAGGTGTCTGTCCATCAAGCCGACACCATTTATAGCCTATATGATCACAGACATCCTGCAGTATGTCAAGAGTTTGTGTGTAGTTGGACACCAAAACTACCCTAAATAGAGAGAGACACAGAGACAAAAATGGACATGAGTTTCACACTAGATGTGTCAATCAAATGGATATTTGTGGCGCTTTTCCACAGCGTGGTACGACTCGGCTCGGCTCAGTACGGTACGGCACGGTTCGGTTTGCGTTTCTACTGCAGTTCAGTACCGCTTTAGAGTGGGCGGGTTTATTCACATGTCGTTATAGTTGCGCCGCCTCTACTGCCGCGACTCCTGAAAAACTTTTTTATTGTGCCTTGCCCCATCAAGCTCTTGCTGGATCCGCTCCTCTGCTATCAACGAGAGGAACGTCTGTATTTCCTCAACAGACAGCGAAACAGCCACTTTTTGGTTATTAAAAAAAGGTGCTGAACAAAATTATAAACGCAACACTTTGTTTTTGCCCCCATTTTTCATGAGCGGAATTCAAAGATCTAAGACTTTTTCTGTGTACACAAAAGGCCTATTTCTCTCAAATATTGTTCACAAATCTGTCTAAATCTGTGTTAGTGAGCACTTCTCCTTTGCCGAGATAATCCATCCACCTCACAGGTGTGGCATATCAAGATGCTGATTAGACAGCATGATTATTGCACAGGTGTGCCTTAGACTGGCCACAATAAAAGGCCACTCTAAAATTTACAGTTTTACTGTATTGGGGTGTCCGGGGGGGTCCGAAAACCAGTCAGTATCTGGTGTGACCACCATTTGCCTCACGCAGTGCAACACATCTCCTTCGCATAGAGTTGATCAAGGTTGTTGATTGTGACCTGTGGAATGTTGGTCCACTCCTCTTCAATGGCTGTGCGAAGTTGCTGGATATTGGCAGGAACTGGAACACGCTGTCGTATACGCCAATCCAGAGCATCCCAAACATGCTCAATGGGTGACATGTCCGGTGAGTATGCTGGCCATGCAAGAACTGGGATGTTTTCAGCTTCCAGGAATTGTGTACAGATCCTTGCAACATGGGGCCGTGCATTTCATGCTGCTACATGAGGTGATGGTCATGGATGAATGGCACAACAAATGCACCTGTGTTCGTTGTCCATAACATACACCTGCCCATGAAATAAAATACAGACTAGGGTCCATCAACACATGTAGCAGGCTCTTTCTGAGATGAAAACTGCTTCTGAATGTGGTATGAAGTGTTTTGATGTCATAGACATAACTGATTTTTTTGAGCAGAGAGGACACTGACAAAGTACAGTACAAAAAAGTAGACAAGAGAGAGCATGAACTGATGTGTGACAGATACAGAGATGGTCTTCATCTTTATTCTCTTGATGCAGGACAGAAGAACCTTCACCGGATGATGAGAAACGAAGGTTAGACGGTCTACTGCAATCATGACAATACACGCAAGACCTCTGCTAGTATGAAAACATCATTATGACTCTGAATCGGGACAATAATAATGAATGTGTAACTGTGTGTTCTGCAGGAACTATGGAGGAGTGTATGTGGGCCTTCCTGCTGATCTGAACACAGTAGCTGCCAGCCAATCAAAATCCACACGTAAAGGTGAGGAGCACACTCAAAGAAAAACAGTCATAAAGATCAAATAACATAAGTTTCATATAAAAAAGAAAAGTATATTTGTCAGTCAGTATATACTGCAGTCAGGTCGAGACCCCGATGAGGGCGACGAGCATGCAGATGAGCTTCCCTGAGATGGTTTCTGACAGTTTGTGCAGAAATTCTCTGGTTATGCAAACCGATTGTTGCAGCAGCTGTCCGGGTGGCTGGTCTCAGACGATCTTGGAGGTGAAGATGCTGGATGTGGAGGTCCTGGGCTGGTGTGGTTACACGTGGTCTGCGGTTGTGAGGCCGGTTGGATGTACTGCCAAATTCTCTGAAACGCCTTTGGAGATGGCTTATGGTAGAGAAATTAACATTCAATTCACGGGCAACAGCTCTGGTGGACATTCCTGCAGTCAGCATGCCAATTGCACGATCCCTCAAAACTTGCGACATCTGTGGCATTGTGCTGTGTGATAAAACTGCACATTTTAGAGTGGCCTTTTATTGTGGCCAGGCTAAGGCACACCTGTGCAATAATCATGCTGTCTAATCAGCATCTTGATATGCCACACCTGTGAGGTGGATGGATTATCTCGGCAAAGGAGAAGCGCTCACTAACACAGATTTAGACAGATTTGTGAACAATATTTGAGAGAAATAGGCCTTTTGTGTACATGGAAAAAGTCTTAGATCTTTGAGTTCAGCTCATGAAAAATGGGGGCAAAAACAAAATTGTTGCGTTTATAATATATATGATTTTTATTAGGTATAAATATTTTATATATAAATATAACATATATTCCTTAAAAATATACATGCATGTGTTCATTTATATATACATAAATACACACAGTACACACATACAGTATATTTTGTAAACACAAACTTATATTTTGGATGCAATTAATTAATCGCGATTAATCATTTGACAGCACTAAATGTAATATAATATATATTTTTTAACATTTTAGGATAAATTATAATATAATACCACATAATATAATGTAATAGTTTAGCACTTTAGCAGTTTTGAGCACTCAAAATTAGAATTTAATATGATATAAATTAATATAATTAGTTTGATGTACTTTTGTTTTTAGTTATTTCCCTTAACCAGGAAATTAACGTTCTTAAAATTGACAAGACAGTTGACCCTGAGAGGTCAGCTAAATATCTACAGCGGATCTACAATATTCATGATTAATCATAACTAGTTATGGTTAATTATTCATATTTCCCATGAGCTGATTCGTTACAGTGCTTTAGCACTTGAAACGCATTATAGTGAATAGCAAAAATATTAAAGGTCACATATCATGAAAATCTGACTTTTCCAGGTTTTAAGTGCTATAATCAGGTCCCTGGTGCATCTACCAACCAAGGAAACGTGAAAACGATTAACCCAATCACTTTGTTTAGGTAAGCCTTTTTCTGCAAGCGTCCGAGAAAACGAGCGTGTTTAATTTCGCTCCCTTGGTGACGTGGCAAAAGGATTTCATTATAATATTACTGCCCCTTAATCTGTAAACTTCCACTCAAGGCACCGTCATTTTGATTTCGCAAGCGACAACAGTGTACCAGCTCTAATGCCATGGCGAAAGTTTGAGCAAAACATGCTAACTGTTCTGTCTTTGGCTGCACAGACGAGCACAGAACACTATTTAGAGTCCCAGCCTCAGAGGAGACAAGAGAGCAGAGGATTTATTGAATTATTTAGGCTACTGTATATTGCTGCTGCCACATAGATCTAAAATAAACATGCGATTTATTTCCCAGCTGTTTACCTTCGCAGACATAACCGACTGTTTTTGTAACTCGTGTGTTTTTAACGTAAACTTGTGTGTGAATGAGAACTCAGTTTAGTACTCACATGCTGTGACAGCAGCTTTCTGTCCATGTGCTTCGGATGTGTGCGCTCAGAAAACCTTATATCTGAAGTTTAAACTCATATGGTTTAAAACACATGATTTCAGCGCGATAAACAGGATAATCAGAACCAAAACAGATGTTTTTAGCAGGTACAAGCTGTAATCGCTCAGCTCTATTCTGGAAAAGGGGCCGGGGAGCAGCAGCTCATTTGCATTTAAAGACACAGGCCCGAAAAACAGCTTGTTTCTGCTTCCACTCAAAATAGGCATTTTTAAAATTGATCTGTGAAGTATTTTGAGCTGAAACTTCACAGACACATTCTTGGGACACCAGAGACTTATATTACATATTGTAAAAATGGGCATAATATGTCACCTTTAAATATATTACTTTATTCAGTTTCATCTGTTCCATGTTTTTTCCTGACTGTGTTGTAAGCTCTTCAGCATAAATTGCTACTCTAACAAATACATTTTCTTGTGGAGATTAATAAAGTATTTTTCTCATCTTCAATACTGAAAGTAAACTTAGTAGCAGCAGTAATAGCCCATTTTAATGGCAAGACACTGTTTGTACTGTGACCTCAACTTGGTGACACCCATGTTAAATATAACTTTCACAAGGACACTGATATGACCTCAGTGTTTATGTTGAGTGTACATCCTTTACAACATTTATTTATCAGATTAGTCACTAATCATTTCTTGATGTGAAAACCTTTCAAATGAGATGACGTCTGTAATGAAGTCGGACAGCAGTTGTATATGTGGTACCTGTCTGTGCGATTGATGTGTTGTATTGCTGACAGCAGGTCTGTTAGCACTAGAAGTTTCCCAGAGTCTGCAGTGCTGAAGGCACCTGTTGAGTATCCCTCAGGAAAGAGTTCCATCATTCCATCCTCATACATCTCATCCGACTTTTCCTGAAGCAAATACCACAAAGAATAATTAAAAAGCAGCAATAATAAGACACAAAACAAGGCATGGCAAAATACCAGCACCTATTTTACCTGTAAAGTGTTGTAGAGCAGCCCGGGGTGGTTGCAGAGTTTCTTGAGGGCGTTGATGCATGCGAGGTGTGGGCTGTGTGTATAAGTGTGTGTGCTGGCACCAGAGAGGCAGGCTCTGATGGGCCGTGTGGCCAGCAGGACTCCATACAAACGCAGCTGCAGTTCAGTGGGTTTGCAGAATACGGTCCACTCTATCCGCTCGGATAAATACTGATTAATGATCTCCTGAGTGCGCCGTAACGTAAACACACCTGTTAGACGAAAGAGCTCAGAGGCACGCTCCTCTCCAATGCACCGCTCTTCCTGAAACACAGTTGTGATCAATGCCACTACAGCTAAATGATACTGACTCACAGTCGGGGAAATGTTTTTATACATATATGTGCATATAAATATATTTTAAGTAATATAATAATCATTTAAAATAAAATGTATATATAAAAAAGTATTTTAAATAAATATTATAAATATTTTATTACTCTGAAAATGTAGAAGTTTACCTCAGTGCAGTTGGGCTGGCGAGATCTGAGAATGGGTTCTTCATAAATCTTCCTGTAGGCTGCAGATGTTCCCAGAATTCCTGGATTTACAAACTCAATGATGGAATAAAATTCCTGCAGGTCATTCTGCACTGGAGTACCTGTAAAAAAATTTTAACAATTACATAATGTTTTACTACTACACTTGTTTACAAAAGTGTGTGTGTTTGTTTGAAATAGGAAACCTGTTAATATAAGACGGCGTTCACATGAGAGGGCTGTGAGTGCGCCGGCCGTTTTGATGTTGCTGTTTTTAAGGCGATGACCCTCGTCACAGATGAGCACTCCAAAATCCAGCTCTTTCAGCTGGTCCACAGAGCGCAACAGCATCTCGTAACTGATCACCATGATGGAGCAAAGAGGAGAAGACACAAAGTCCTCCACACGGTGATCCTACAGAGACAACATATTCTTTTAACTTTCATCACTCTATCTATTATCTGACACAAACGGCCACACATACACACCTGGTCCACAGTGTAAACACTGATCCTCTCCCTGCCCAGCCACTTGTTGAACTCAGCAGCCCAGTTCTTGACCAAACTTCCTGGACAAACCACAAGTGTCCTCTTCAGTACGGGACGTCCACCGTAGGGTCCCTGTCTCAGTAGCGTCCACAGAACACAAACACACTGCAGCGTCTTCCCCAGTCCCATCTCATCTGCCAGAATAGCCCCGCAGCGGCCAGGCAGTCTGCAGCACACCAAAATACATGTGCAAAAACATGCAGAAGTGCATATGTAAGAACATTACAATAACAGATGAACTCTTATTTACCTCATTCCCATTAAACACTCATAAAGGAAGACCACACCCTCTTTTTGATGTGGCCGAAGATGATTGGTCAAATGGGGATCGATGACCACATCCACCAGAGGAGAACCAGATTTATTATACAGCCACTGGTGATCAGTTGTTGGTCGCGGCATCACAAGGGCACCTTGGGACCAATAGAAAGTAAGCAGTATGGATATGGATAGTTTGGAATAAAATGTAATAATTATAATGTATATGAATGTTTCAGTGAAAGTGTTTATCCTGTAATGCAACCATTCCTTTGAAATTTTAACCATTTTAATCACCTTTTTGTCTTCATTATTTTCTTAAATGGAGTTGCAGTGTACATTTTTAGAAGTATAACTATTACATGCATCAATTAAATCATTAAGTTGAGCATGTGCTATACCTGGTGCGTTCGGGTCATGTTTGGGTTTACAGATTGGTTTTTCAGGTTCAGAATCTGTAAGTGCACCTCCCTTGAGTGCTGGTTTGGTAAAGGATTTGGACACTGGTCGATATACAGGAGCCTTCAAGACTGTTTCTACAGGAGTCTCAACAGCAGCATTTTGAAAACAACGGCCTTTGGCGTAGTCCTCATCGGATATGACCCCCATGACTTCGATTTGCTTCCCTCCTACCATAAGAGTCTGACCCTCGCACAAGCTCTCCAGCTCTGATGCCTTATAGCCTGCACCTGACAGAAAAACACTGATTTAAAACACACATCTACACAGATTCAAACATATTACCTCAAAAGTGAAGTAAAGGGAGAATTGTGCATTTCAAATAGGGATGCACCAATAATAAAATTCTTGATATTTAATTATTTATATGATATGGCTGATAT